GAAGCGAAACGGGGCGTCGCCCAGGTCTTTCCTTCCTTACCTCCAGGAGGAAATCCCGCAGAGCGACGAAGGTGGGCCGGTCTTCCGGCTTGTGCGCCCAGCACTGCAACATGACGTTGTAGATATCTTGGGGACAATCTTCTGGTCGGGGCAGTTGCTCGCCTTCCTTATCGATCTTGTGAAGAATCTGATTGGGAGGAAAGCCAGAATTTAGGAGCCATTGGGGGGGGGTGGAAGGGGGGAAATGGGGGGGGTTTATTGGAAAGCTGCCAGTTCCAGCCTGGGAAGCGTTACGGATAGTCCTCTGTTCGTTTAATGACGGTTACAAGGGAAAAGAAGGGACTTCGGGCTCCTATTAACCCTGAGGACCGTTGCAGCATCTCCGTGGTCGAGGACAAGGTAGTCGTCAACTTACGGGTGGTTCATTTAGTGACCAAAGTTACAATGGCCGCAAGTGTTCTGAACAAGACCGTCATTACGCACACGCTTATTTTAAAAACAAGTCTGGTTTTATTGCAACGCTGGGAATGGTTTTCATTCCCAGCCGGGAATGAATCTCAAACAGTCCCTCGAGATAAGCACCCACCTTTCTTTCTTGTGAAGTGCTGACAACAGCAGAAGTGTCAAATAAACTAGGGAAAAAAACACTAACCGAAGTACAAAGCGCTTCAAGAATGAATTTGAACCGAACGACCTTGCTTCCTGCAAAGGTTTCTTCACCTTTGCCTGACCTTTATCCCTTATGGGAGGGGCAATCACCTCTCAAGCCTTACTCCCGGAGTCGCCGCTTTTGTTTCAGCTGTTCTCGCCTTCTGGCAGCTCTGTGCATACGCGCACTAGGAACAGGCTCCCCTGGTTCCTCTTCCTCACTGCTGCCAGACTCCGGAGGCAGCACCCCATTCCCAGATGGTCCTGGCCCCAACTCTGCATCGGATGCAGGACTCTCGTCCGAGTCCTCCCCGGACTCCTGGACTGGTCCTCGTTCTTCCCCACTGTCCGATTCCGCTGCCGTCGAACCACAAAACACGGAAAGCAGTGATTTATGACCAAGGGGTGGGATTCTACCGGTACGGCCTGATTCGAGCAAACTCGTTGCTCCGAGGATCAGCTGTGAGCGAACAGGTTGTTACACCGGGTTGAATCGTACCCCTGCTTATGACCGAGTTTTGTATTACGACCGTTGCAGCATCCGCAAGGTGGTGGGGTCAAAATTGATACGCTTGGCAACGGGGGTCATACTTAATGACGATCGCAGCGTCCTTGGGTGATGGGATCCCCTTTCGCGGCCTTCTGACCATGGGGCAAGCCGGATTCACTAAACGACCGGGTTACTAATTCATCAACGGCAAGGATTCGTTTAACAGCCGTGGGGGAAGGAGGCTCGTAAAAATCGGGCAAAACTCACTTAACCGATGACTCGCTTAACAACCAAAATGCTGGGCTCAACTGCGGTCGTACGTTGAGGAATAACCTGTAATAACAACTTCAGAGGCTTAGCCACTGACTCGTATTTATGACAGTTGCAGTGTCCTGGGATCCCCTTCTGACAAGCGGAATCAACGGGGAAGCTGGATTCGCTTAACAACCGGGTTACTATCTTAACGACTGCAGCGATTCACTTAACGACAATGGCCAGAAAAGCCACAAAATAGGAGAAAGATTCGTCTCGCTTAGGAACAGAAATGTTGGGGTCTGCTGTGGCCGTTGAGGACTGCCTGCACACGTGCGCGCACGAACACACACACACACACACACACCAGCCTTTCCCGTCATACCTGGCTGCCATTAAGGCCAACCCACGGCTCCTGTCCGTAGGTGAACATCTCCCAGAGGGTCACGCCAAACATCCAGGTGTCGCTAGCATGGGAGAAGGTGCGCGTCTTCAGGCTCTCCGGGGCACACCTGATCCAGGTTGGGGGGGGGGAAGGGCAGTCCAGGTGGGGGAGAGAAAGCAGAGAGGTCGTCATGCTCAAGTTCTCAAGGCCGAGAGCCACTGATCCCATAATCCACTCCCAGGATCCCCAAAGAACAGGGTTCTCAGATCCCCATCAACTTGTGAGTTGCACACGGTGTCAGGATTCCGGCAGTCGCCCCCCCACATTTAAATCACGAGTCTCGAGCCAAACTCCCAAAACTTAAAAAGGATTTATTGGGAGTCAAACATGTCCGGCACTGCCTGGGTGCAGCCGACTCTGAGGCACATCGTTCATTGTCACCGTTGACCCTGGTTTTCCCCCAACCCCTGGGTGTGTCATAAATCATATTCTCCAACGGGACACAGCCATAGCCAAGAATCATCAATTGTGCTCTCCAGTTAGAATTTTGCATGGCAGAAACTTTAAGTCACCTAGTTACTAGCTTTGAAAACATTTATGGAATGCACTTTCGGTTTCCAAGCTGCCGCATTGCTCTGTCCTCCCTCTCCCTTTCTGTTGGCAACTCCAAAAAGATCACAGAAATATTTTATGAGTTGACACGCGGCTGGGGAGTGGGTCTTCAGGGCTTACCCTGGTTAGTTAAAGAGTCATGGATGCATGCTCAGACTCTAGTGGTTAAGCCACAAGAGACCAGAATCTGGGAGATCCGAGTTCTAGAACTGCCCGAAAGCCAAATGAGTGACACTTTGGGCCAATTGCCAGGTGTTGGAGAGTTCTAGTCCCGCTTAAGGGAACAAAGCTGGCTGGGCGGGCCCAATCACCAGGAGACGGTGAGTTCTAGTCCTGCCTTAGGTATGAAA